GCTAGTTTTGGGTCACTACCTTCACTCATCTCCAGGCAAACCTTTTTTATTTTCTTCTACCAGTCACCCTTATTTTTCTTGGTTCCAGCTAGTAGCTTTCAAGATTGCTGTGCACATCTTGTCTCTAGTGCAAGGCAGAGCTGGGTGGAGTAGGCACTGTTAACAAGGTTGCAGGTGAGGCTAGAGAGGCTAACAGGCAGGGCTGCTATTCACAGGATCTCCAACAGCCTGGAGGAATGAGCTGACAGAAACCTTATGATGGAAGGGCAGTTATGAGTCCTGTATCTGGGACAGCATATCTCTGTGTGACACTGTGAGCTAGAGAGCAGCTGTGCGGGCAACACTCGGGGAGGAGGTGGAAAGAACATCTTCAGTCCTAAGAAAAGAAAGGGATGCCAGGTATCTTACTGCTGTCTCAACTACCTTCCAGGAGGTAGAAAGGGTAAACCCAGGTTCTTTGTACTCTCAGTGCAGGGACAGGATAATAGGAAATGAACAGAAGTTGCAGCAAGGGTAATTCTGCTCAAGGCCATGACAAAGTTGGCCTTGTTTTGAAATCAGGGGCTTAGGGTGGACCACAGTTCCGTTCCAACCTAAATTATTCAATGATATGAAGAGTCTTTATGAGTTTTAGATAATTTTATCTGAAAGAGTGTAGTGGAAGCTCACAGGCTGCAAATTCCTTATGTATAGTCAGTGACTTCTGCATTTGAGACTGCTGTTTAAGAGAGGTTGATCTTGTTAACAAAACCCAGAAAAATTCCAGCTTGTGCTGATGTGACTGAATAAAACCGCCTTCTTAACACAGTTCACACTCCTTTTAGCACTTTGGATTAATTATATGGCTGTTATCCTAGTGGAAGCAGCCAGAGCAGGTAATTGAAGACATCTTGAAATAAATGAGATAAATGATGCTGCAGAAGCAGCATCAGAGGAAAACCACTTTTAAAGCTGTTTTTAAAATCATAGAATCATAGCATGGTTTGTATTGGAAGGGACCTTAAAGGTCATCTAGTTCCAACTCCCTTGCCATGGGCAGGGACACCTTCCGCTTGAGCATGTTGCTCAAAGCCCCATCCAACCTGACCTTGAACACTTCCAGGCATCCAACTGTTAAACTCCCTCAAGTACAATGAATTTTACTGTATATTTTTTTTGACCACACTGTATTTTAGAAAGACAAACCCCCTATTCTCTATTTCTTAGAATGAGTTCACTATATTCTTACATGATTTTTGTTGAATTTAAGGGAACCATTCTAAATAATTTTCAACTGTGCAGGTAGTGTCTGAAGTATTTTCAGGACAAATCATTAACCCAGCCCACTAAAAATCTGTGCTGCAGAACTTTTTGCATCACAGATTTGGTGCGCTCACAATTTTTTTTAGTACCAAAGTAATTTTCAAAGTGGAAATATTTTTAATATAATCCTTGTAATAATGTTTCTGATTCCCATAGTTGGTAAAAAACCCAGTAAGTTATCTACTGTTATTTCAAGAAGCACAGGTCTGCAGATCCTCATTAAAAAAAGCTAGAAATATGCAGAAAGCTAGGTATCAGGTGTGTTGTAAAATATTTAAATCATGGATTTCAGGAGATGTAGGAGTTTATGACAGTTTCAGTAGAATGCTTTTCATAACCACCACTACTGTAATTAATTTTCAATTTCTCAAGGTACTTCATTCTTTTAGATATTCTCAAATCCAAGATAGAGTCAAATATTAATTATATTCTTAGCTCTGTCCCTGTTTATTTTAACCACAAACACGAAGAATATTTCACAGCTAGTAATTCAGCTAAATTGCATGTAACTCTGAATATCAAGGTCAGTTCATGCCCTGCTTCTCTCTCCTCTCTCTTTTTTTCTCACATCAGAAATAATTAGTAATGATCTGAGATTTAGTACAGTGATAGGACTATCACTGGGTTTTCTTATACATTTGCTGGCTTTAATAATTAAGGGGAATATTATTTTGGTGTGGTTTAAAGGCTTTAAAACCCTCATTTGTCTCATATCCAGAAACGTAACCATCATCTTAAATGTATTATTGTTGATAGAATTTCTGGTTCTTTCTTATAATACTTTTGGCTCTTGAGACTAATTAATCAAGTCTGAAATGCATGTGCTTAATTTTGGAGGCAAGAGTGATTCGAAATATATAATTAGCCACTTTGTTGAAGTGTGTGTATTATGGTTCAGTGACTAATTTTCTGGTCAGTGAATCACAACCTTATGTCTCTTTAAACACTTCACGTTGTGATAGTTCTTGTATTTAAAGCTATTCTATGCATAAAGATCTAATTCATGCTTAGAGTTTTAATAACTGCCTCTGCTTCATGGTTTTCTGAGAGAATAATATTTATTCATCTCTCTTTAAATTTAAACTTTATGACTTATCTCAGTTACAAGTTAATTATATGCATCATGGTATTCTAAAGGTCATGGAATGTAACATGACAGTAGGTTTGGTTTAGTTGGTAAAAGCTATAATTGCTGGCAACATAGTATTTATTCCATTTTACAAATTTACAATTCTTTATCTAGAACTGACATCAATCATAGACTGAATGCCTCTAAAAATTTATTTTCAGATACTTCTGAAATATCTCACTCTAATGCTGTAAATTGTACGAAGATAAAACATTCCTTATGTATTTCTGTTTTGGAAAACGTTTGCTTTAAACTTTGTCATTGCTTGGAGGCTTTTATTAATGTATCATCTAACAGCTTCAGGTATCATTGAGGAACTTCCTTTTGGCATGTAATTCCAGCCTTGAAAAATCACATCACTGTAAACTGTAAGTGGCTTTGGCATGAGAAGAAAAATTCAATTAATAAGGTTACCTAAATTTGTCTGTATGAAAATATAATTGCATTGCAGTCTAATGTGTCAAAACCACTCCTGAATAATTGGGAGTTACCAGACCTGAGATGGATTACATATTGTCTGTTCTAAGTTTTCAGTGTACAAAAATGAAGTATTTTGAGTCCCTTTCCAAGGGAGGGGTACCGTCAGGCAGAGGACCAGAGGAATACAATAGTTGTATTACTTTGTGTGGTTTCCTAATTTGCCACATAGGAGTAAACCCCTTGTGTTTACAAATAGGGTGTTCTCTCTACTATGTGTAAGTAATATTCTCATGCAAAATATTGCTTAAAATGTTTGTTTAAAATAGAAGTTATTTTTTTTCCTTTTTACTTTCAACTTGTTTTTACATTAGAGGAGACAAACACATAGCAAATATGGGTTAAATCATTTTTACTTCATGTAGTAATACCTAAAGTTCATTGTTCCTCCCAGTTGAGTCTGGATACATGACTGGTTTAATCTTTGTAATACTTGGCTCTAAAAATAAAAATCAGAGGAAACAGAATCTGTCTATGAGTCAGTATGCAGAACAGATGAAGTGTAAGGGCTATGAAGAAACATTCTTTTCGTTCAGGCCAACGTCTTAATCACTACTGAGAACTAATGTCATATTTTGTAATAGTGGGATATAAGTGCCAAACTGTGATCTGTTTTGATAAGGATTAAAATGCTGATGTTATTGTCTTGATTTTGTTCTAGTTTCTGCTGTATTTTCTATTAATGTTTTTAAACTAACACGCTTTCTTGACAACTGTTTTCAGAGCACCTTGTGTCATTATTTCAAATGTAGTCACTCATTCTCACCTTTCTTATCTTTTTGGAAGAAATTACTGACTTGGATGTTTTGATAACATTGAAATAATCTCCAAATTGTAGTCCTTTCTGTATGCCTGACTTCATAGAGTCTGAAAAATTGTTTGCCGTAGGAAATGAACCCAGGGTCATTCATTCATGAGAAGTTGGGTGACAAATCCCAAGGGATTTTAACAGTGATAGGCAGTAGTAATGAAAATAATTTTCATACATGGGATATAATGCACATTTCTGCCTCTCCTTCAAATAATAAATTAATCATTTGAGCCAAATGTTGTGGAAACAAATAATTTACAATATGCAGTATCTCAGTGTCACCTTATTGTGCTTTTCAGCGCTACATAATACGTCTTTCATCTATAATTACCCAGTTGTCTTTCTAGCCTGCTAAGAAAATATTCCTTCAGCTTGACCTCTTTAAAATGTGCTTTTATTCAGTTGTTTACAGTGTGTTGGTCCTGTGTAATGGGTGTTTATCATTAGTTCTATAGATAACGATATGTCGAATAATGGTTATGCCACTGTGCTGAAAAAAAAATGTTGCAGTCCAAACCAGTTCCAGTTGCAGAAAGCAGGATTAGAAAGCAGTCTTGACTGGGAAGCAGTCTTGTAAGTCTCAGCCAAGAAAGAGGCACTTCTCTTGTCTTTTGTTAGGCCAAAGAGATGTGCTCCCAATGTTCAGCAGTAGCTAAGAGTAGAGAAAAATGTTCCTTAGCAACAGAAGTTCATGAAATAAAAGAAAAATTTAAATGCGGCTTAAAATTACGGAAATAGCATCTGTCAGATTTAAAAATGTGAAAATGGCTTCTCTTTTATAGACAGGAGGAAGACAAATATAAAAACTAAAAACTAGAAGATAAGTTCTAAGTCAAGGTGGAAAAGTTACTCTGGTGCGTGTACCTTTCACTATAAGCTGGCAGAAGTGCACCTTGTGCTGTTACTGTGCATCTGTAAGGTTGAAATAATTGCAACCTTCTGGGAAATACATGGCTCTAAAGGGAATGGAAGTGATGATACTTTTTAAAAACATTGTTCTGCTCTAGGTCTGTGTCTGTAAGTACCTGCGTTTGGAGTGAAGGCTTTAGTGGTCACTTCTGTTTTCCCCTTTCTTTCATGTGACCAGACCTGTCATGTTCTGATCCCTCCTAGTCCTGCACACAGTGCGCTTCTGACAAACGTCATCCATAGAACACATTTGAAACAATCGCAGCTACATATCCTTGGAGAAAAAGGCTACCCTCTGTACTAGACACAGCTAAAATGGTAGAACTTTGGTAAACAATAGAAATAATATTTTTTCACTAATGTTTTGTATAGGTTTGTGATTGGACGAGAAAAACCGGGCCAAGTGAGTGAGGTTGCGCAGCTGATTAGCCAAACTCTAGAACAAGAACGCCGCCAGAGAGAGCTGCTGGAGCAGCATTATGCACAGTACGATGCAGATGATGATGAGGTAACAGAATGCCTAGAGTTTCACTATTTGGTGTTTTTTATTGTTCCATTTTCTATTCCTAATTCCTTCTTTTTAATTATCACTTAGAGGTCAGCTTTTGGACTTCTCCATTACCTTTGCTGCTGATTTTTACAGATTGACGATTAATCTTATTTGAAGAACAAAGTTACAGGAAGGCTTTTCATCATGGATTTCATGTTTTGTGCCAGAAGAGCAAATAACAAATCGGTTAATGCTTCTGTAATCATTGCTCTTCCTCTGAAAGCATATACCTTTCTGAAATAAGGGAATAAAGTTTGTTTAGTTGTGCACTGAAATGTTAGATTTTTGAGAAAACTGGTAGAAGTTGCCCTCTAACTTTTAGAGGGGTTGAGGAAATTTTAGACCTTTTTTCTTTTTTTCTGGAAGAAGTGACATTTTTCTTAATTCAGACCATTTTCTGAAAATTCTGGCTAAGACCGCTCCTTCCACACACTGTTTTTTGTTTCTGTGTGAACAGATATTCCACGGGATGGAGAGTTAATCTAGCTTGTGTAGTATATTCATGTTCACCTACAGTGCCTGATGTCCCAATGCAATGGTTTTGAAACTCACAACTTCATGCAGTAGATTTTCCATAATTTCTTTGCATTCTCTTAAAATTCCTAATATGCCTAAATGCCAAAATACTTGGAAAGATTAATGAGAGAGCTTTTTTAGAGACTGCTGTCTGTGTTACTTCTTAAATTAGCTGTTGGGTTAAGGTAAAAGGCAGTTGTTGCTTCCATATAGCCTAAGCATGCTGCCATCATTTCACATCATCTGTTGAATAACATTATTTGAAATGTCAGACTCCACGCATTAGTGTGTTTTTGTCCTGGGCTAGATTTTTTATTATGTTTGTGTAAGGAAAACATACAGAAGGGGAAATGCATGCTATGCATTTATTTTAGTTTAGTTTTTCTTTTTGGAATAGAAACGCTCTTGATATAAAATCAGGATACACTTGGATTTTGAAACATGCTGTTAAATTAACAATAGATCAGAACAATCAGAAGTGTACCAACACTACGTAAAAATCCTATCTAGCCCCAGTAATGCTTCCACTTACTTTATTTTCCACTGATATTAAAAACATTTTAGTCTATTTTAAATTTAATCCTGTCACAAGAACATATTTAACTCTTATAAATAAAATTTTACTCATCAATATACATACATACATATGTATGTGTGCCTGTGTGAGGCCATGATGGCTAGAAAATCCATATCCTTTCTGTTCACTCCTCAAACTACAGAAACATGCAAGTCTTCTGTTTAGTGTAGAATTAAATTCAAGATGAATTTCTTGAAGCAGCTCTGTTATCTCCTCAGAAACAAAATGGAGACAACTAGCCTTTGAGGTAAGACATATCATAAATCATCACAGCGTGCTGGAGATGTCAGGGTTCGAAGACCTGCGATACTATCTTATTGTGGACATAGTCTGATAGCTTTCATATAGGCAAGAGTAGTGTGTCCCAAGTGCCTGATGATCAGATCTTTCTCGGTTTGCAGATATGGGGGGCTGAAGGGAGAGCTGTTTGAGTAATTGATGCATCACACCTTTTATCTGTAGGGCAAATCCACCTGCAAAAAAACTCAAAGGTTTGTGTTTCTTACCTTCATGCACCACATAGGTGGTGTTACTCAAGATCAGGCAAGAAAAAATGTTGTTAAAACCATAAATATCAATACTAAACCTGGTAGTACTTCAGCCTTCGGTAGGGATTGTTGCTGGGAGGATGCTTATGGTGACAATGTCATACTGATGACTGTGCAAGTGTTTCTCAGTAGAATAGTGAAAGAGGACAAGAATGAGTAGGTATGAGTAGGTCTCAGTTACCTTTTGTGATGGGTCTTGTTGTCCTGTTCACTGCATACGTTTTTAACACAAAAATACTAGATGCACAAAGTGTTTTCTGCTGGTAGAATCTTTGAATCATAGAGAGTTTTCCCCTGATTTTTTCCTAATTAAGAGAGTTAAAGTTATCTTCTCTTATTGTAGCACTACACTGAGGATGATGACCATCTCCGTGACCATGACGTGCTTTTTGGGCATTAGTGTTTGCAGTGCAAAGGGGACTCTTATGCAGTGTTTGAGGAAAGGAGGAAGAAGAAAGGAAAAGACATCTAGCAGGGGAGATCCAAATGATCTCATCAGTGATTACCTTTGGAAGAAGGAATTAGGTCTGAGAACAAATCAAGTACTTGAGTTCTTAAAAACTGCATTGGGATCACTGAAGATTGTACCCTTTTCCTACTTGATGCCATATATATATATTTGAGAATATATATTTGGGACATGGGTGGTAAGCATTGTCAGAATAGTGCTGGGGTTTAGTTACTAAATGCAGTTACTAGTATGCAATGCAGTGTGTTTCCTTGCTTAATTAAGAGACTCATCAGAAATAGATTTTACTGGGAACTTGCAGTAATCCTGAATTTTTTTTTTTTTTTGTCACCTGACTATGCCATCCAAGTAAACTCACACAACTTGTACCATTCCCAGACAACTGACATGATGTTAGCTATGATCTGATGCGCATTAGCCACAGTTCAAAGACATTTTTGGTCACCACAAGCACTTCTGCTCCATTTACTGTCAAATACGAGTATTACTACTTTGAGCTTACCTTGCTGTGTGAGGACAAATATGGCAGAGTTTATGTTGCTCTATGCCAGACACCACTGCCAGCCCTGCATTCTTTGTCTCTGGTAAACAGGGCTTATTTTGGGCAAGAAAATTCTGGTTTACAGTGTCTGAATGAATGTTTACAAATGTACAAAAACCCCTACCCTTTTGAATCCATTTCATCAAATTGTGATTCTGACTGCATGGAGTTCAGGAGTACTTGGATTGCCAGTGTAAGTTTTGCATTGAGGTAGCACAGAATTATACAGGATTTGCTCAGTCTCAGGGCTGCCAAACCATCCTATTCATTTTCATAGAGTCCTTAAAATATGGTAACATGGATCTCAGGGTACAGAGCTGAACCCTCCTTTGAGGCTGCCAAATACTGAGGCTCAGAGACTTTGCTACAAGGACAGCAATAACCTGTCTGTTTTCCGGAGCAGGAAATAAGTGATCTGTGTTTGAGTCCTGGAGTCACTGCACATGACTGTGTTTGCTAGAGCTGGTCAAATCTCAGGAAGAAAGTATGTGCCGGCATGTACAAGTTCTGGTGTTTTGTCTTGCTGTGCCACCAGCTGGCTGGATTTCCTCTGTTTTGAAAGTGCTTACAGTCTTCATAGCCCAGTAAGCATCTAGGTGTTTTAGAAGGATCCAAGTTCCTTAAAAAAGCAGCATTTTGATACAGTTTTGATTTCTGCCAGCCAGTTGACACTGGACTTGAGTAGATACTAAATTTAGAGAAACGTTAGCCTGCTGTAACTTCTCATTCCATTGCCTTGCAGAAATTTTGTATGACAGCCAATTTTTGGGAAAGATTCACACTAATAGACATGATATTTCTAAAGTACATATCATTTACTATATAAATAAGAATGGAAAAAGCATAACTTACTGTATAAATGCCCTGCATTCCTGCATTTGAGAACCTGCTGTTACCATGAGCTGCAGGTTATCACAGGGTTGCAGGATGCTTTCAGGTGCTCCTTCATTAAAGTTTTTGCATGGAAACACTAAACCCTTGTGCAGAACTGATGAATACTAAAAGAAAAGTGATGCTCACGAAGGAATCTGTGCAAAGACTAGCAGAATAAGTGTGCAATAGCTCACAAATTGTTGTTAAGCTCCCAGGAGCCAGTAGTACCAGTTATTTCTCGACTATGATATACGATACACAGTGTTGGCATTTCCTGATGTGCTCACTGCTGTAAAGCTGGGAGAGTATGTTGCCTCTAGATAGCCTGTTGCAGAGTTTGCTCATCACTAGTGTATCTAGCTTCCTAAAGTCTCGTATCCTTTTGGTTTGTTGTATTCTGTCAGAGAATAAAGCTCAAGGGCTTTGAAGTAGGCACTGTCTTTGTATTTCCTACTTAGTGTGCTAAGTATGACCTGAATCTGTATCCTTGACTAAACCCTTTTGAATTCCATGTGTTAACACAGTGTTCTCTGCACATGAGTCAAACTCTGACATTTCCTGGAATTTTATTTTGAACTTGGAATTATCTTCTTCATGTTCTGCAGTGAGTGACAAAGTCACATAAAGCAGATGACTTGTTCTCCTGAAGGCTGCATATGGTGATGCAGAATGTGAAATTAATAACATATTCCAGAATTCTGTTCACTGGCCATGGACAAGTAGTTTAATTCAAGTGATGTTTTAATATATTTTAATATCATTAATAGTCATGAATATTTTTTTTAGTTTTAAATTCTCATTCATCAGGACATTCTGAGAGCAAAGCAACATTGGAACCATTGAAGAAAATGCTGACACATGCAAAAAGAAAAATGTTGCAGTGTGCTTGAATGTTTAACACCCAAAGAATACATTCGCTAAACCGGATCTTTCAGAGAGTACGTTTTTTCCAACATCATTAATATGACACACTCCTGTAAAAGCAGTGATTAAACTATACCATTATATTTTTCTTTACTCTTTTGAAAGCATTAAGTATAAGCCATCAAAAAAAATCAAATGAAGAGATGGGCTTGAGTTATTTTTATAGTTCTTTAAATGGTGTTCCCTTATTGTGGGAGAGTTTCAGCAGGAACAAAAGATGTAGCTTGATGCAGCCTTTGTTATGGTGATTTGGGGAAGGTCTGTCTGCATTATCCTGGCTGGTGCTGTTGCTCCTTCTAACACTCCTGCTTCGGAGTGTTAGGCCTATTTCAGAAATTCACAAGGCAATTAAACAATGTAAGCAGCACATTTTCCATGTAGAAGTGGAAAATTGCAGCTCATGCTGATAATTTCATGCTATTAGCTGTGATAGCATATAGCAAAATGGAATGGCTAATATCAGCAGCTGTTGCTTTGGATGGGATAAGCTTAAGCCCTAGGTGCTACTGAAATGAGAAATAGGGCTTTTGCATGGATGAATTTTGCTCAGCAACACAGAATGAAGAGTCTGAGGTTTTCCTTCAAGAGCATGTAAGTTTTCATTGATTATTGAATAAAAAATACTATTCTTGTTGTCAGCTAAGAAAACAAAAGGTATTGCAGGAAACCTCAGGGAGTTACAATAATAACTGTTCCCTTACAGAGCTTTGATATTTTGAACTAATATAAATTTTTTCTGTGCCTTGCTGCTTCGTGTAAAATACTGTATTTCCTATTCTAGCTTACTGGCGCAGTGTCTGAGCAACCTTCTGGTAGTTTCATGTGAAACAAAAGTCAGCAGAGATAATTCTTTTCAGGGAAAGTATGTTCCATGTAAATTATGGTGTATATTTTTGTAATGTACACATTGGTTCTTTTGAACCTGTAATTTGTTTTTCACGTGACTGTAAGATTAAGTCTCTGCCTTTTGAAGATGAAAAAAATCCCATTTATTTCTGTGTTCTGTGATGCGTTTGTGTTGTCCTGCTGTCTTGTTTACCTGAGCTGTGCTTTGCTTTGACAACTACTTTTTTCATTAATTGAAGCAAAAATGACTGTTCTCATTGACACTCATTATGTACAATTTGAAGCAAGATTTTCCTTTGTGGTCATTTTTAGCTTCCTGATGTTCCTCTCCAAACACTCGGGCTCCTGAGCCCAGTTGAATATTGCCTGCTCTTGAATTTTTTCCCAATAATTTAGTCCTTCATGTGTGTTCATTTTTCTTTTTGTATTCAGTAATTCTTTTTAGTTTAAGTCTTTGGAGAAATCAGTTTTAACTAAATTCATCTTTTTTTTTTTTTTTGCCAAAATCGATAAATGTGATTTGAATTTTGCATTAAATTAATAAATTCCTTTAAAATGCACTTGTAGCTGAGCTAAACCTGGGTACTTTTATGTAAATAGGGCATGAGTTTACTGGTTAATGATCCTTTTTCTGCCACCTCTTTGCATACTTCACAGATTTCCTTGCCACTGCTAATGGACCTGCCAAGATGGTTTTTTTTTTAACTTAGAAACTATAGCTGTGTAGTATCTTAGAGATTTTTCAGGGATAGTGACTGCACAATTGGCAGTCCATGGACTGTTAGTATTTTTCCCCACAATAATTCATTTCATTGAAATCTCACTGGGATTTTATGAGTTGGTTGTTCAGTTTCTGATTGCCCTGATGGTATGTAAAGGTAGTGTTATGCTCCTGGAAAAAGCCAGGGGAGTTAGTAGCCAAATTTTCTGTTTAGACAGGAACTGCAAATAGCCACAGGGAATAAAATAGAAACAGAACTTACTAGAGGTGTAGTGTAACAGAAGATTTTTTTGTGTCTGTGTGAGATATAGACATACAGAATGATAAATTTAATTTCAGGTGGTTTTTTGTTTAGTTGTAATGCTTATATGCCTGAAAACTCCAGTGAGATGGATGATGTTGTTTTTTGCTTCTGTTTTGAGAAGCAAAACCAACTGTTAATCTTTTTTGTTGAAGACTACTGTGATTCTTAGTCATAGATTCTTAGTGCATATGAAGTATATAGAATAAATGGATACTGTTTGTTTCACTGGAGAATATGTTCCTATTTACAGAAGCAGTGAGAGTTCACCTGAAAAGTGCGTCACTTTACAGTGATGTCTCAATATGGATGGGTTGTGCATGTTGGTGACTTACCTTCTTTTTGATAGTTCTTTTACCATCAGAAAATTTTACTGAATAATGTTATGCCTTCTATGTGTTTTGGCTTACTTTATTTTTTAAAAACTTCAGTAGTTAAAAAAAAAAAAAAGAATATAGATTTTTCATGATCTTTAGAGGTCCATCCTAATTCAAAACTATTCTGTGGTTCCGCCTGCTACTTCTCAAAGAAATGGTAATGTTTTATTGCAGGTATGTCACCTTGTTGCTGGATGCATACTTGTATCTTTTCTGTCTGTGTGTACTTGTGCACCTAGATTTAATATGCTTCCATGCACTGCTTTTTACTTGAGAGAGATTCACATAAGCCTTAACAAAGCCTGGGAAACTAAATTAAGGCAGGAAGCTGAGATTTGAACTGTTATTGAAACATTTGAGTTCTTACCTGTTATTTTGAGAAGACCTTTTGTCAAAAATAATGACAATAATAGACAATTTTAGCACTACAGGGAATATATTTCTGATAATAATATGATGTTTCTTCATCTCAGGAACTGAAAGCTCATGAACAAAAACCTGAGTAGTTCTGTCAAAATTTTGGTGGTGTTACTGTATAAACATAAGAAGGACTGCACCCCTTCCCTCACCCCTCCTTTTCCATGTATTTATTGAGTACCAAGCTTTATAAATCCAGATGTGGCCCTGAGGGAAGTGTTTGCTTTATAATGTGTTTGCATAGTCATTTGCACAGTCATCTGCACAGCCAGCAGACTATCTGTGATCCATAAGCCATGTGCTCCAGCTTCCAGAGGGAGCCCCACAGAAGTGAGGTGGTACCATCCACCTTAGGTATGGGGAGAGATGAGCACAGGCATATGTGCAAGAGATTGTCTGGGCAGCTGGGGGTTCAATATTGCAAGCCTTTTCAATATTGTTTTGTTTTATTTTGTTTACTGTTGAGGTACTGATTGCAGCTTTTGATTTTTTTAAAATTCTGTTTTGTCAGCAAATTGTACACAGCTCGTGGTTTACCAGCCCAAGAAAAACTCACTTTTTCTGTTTAAAACTAGCTCAAAGCAGCTCCTTATTCAGGATGAACTCTGATTTCAGTCTCTCAACTTGTCTCTGACACTCAGTTTCTTTTTTCTACTGTTGTCTTTCTGTGTGGGTGTGACTTTTCTATCGTTAATTTGTTTATAAAGAACAAACCAATGAATTTTCAAATTCACCATAGAGTATCACTGGAGAATTACTTCCTCCAAAAGACTAATCAAGATCCTGTTGGTCCTATTCTTTTATTTCTTTTTGGGAAAGATTTCTAGTTAGTTCTGAAATAAATTTGGAGGGTTCTTTGGAAAATGAAACCATTGAAATACAGAACCAGTAATACTTAAGAACTAAATTCTTAGTGCTTAAGACACTATTTTCTGTCTTAATTTACCACAGTACTACTGTGGAGTTGTATTTTGTCTGGTAGAATTCATAAATACTTGGGATATAGTCAAAGAAAAAGATAACCTTTTTTGTTTGCAGAATGCTGGCTTTGCACAGTAGCTTATTATTCTTTGAACAGTCTCTGTCTAATTAGAGGATAACTGGAATTTCTTAAATGCTATAAAATTAAGACAGGGGAATATGCTACAGATGAAGAAGATGAAGACATGGGACCTGTCCTTCCAGGAGGTGACATGGCTATTGAAGTGTTCGATCTCCCTGAAAATGATGAAATGTTCTCCCCTAGTGATGTGGACACCAGCAAACTTGCTCATAAGTTCAAAGAGGTAAGTTATAGGTCAGAAAATACTCCTGAAGTACCACATTGAATTACATTTCTAGTCATCCCATTGCTCAGAGCATGTTTTTTCTCATGAAAACTAGAGTTGATTTCTAGCTATTTGTATCTCATTACTTCTGAACTATTCAAAAATTTCTACTTAAAAGAAGTGGAACTGTTCTTTGGAGTTGTTTTGGCATCAGTTTTCAGGTGACTGTTGTACTGGTGGTGGATAATTTATAAATAAACTTTTTAGTACAGAAGTTATTCTGCCTCAGCACTTAGTTTGACAAGGAAGTCAAAGTGCAAGTTAATTCATTACTAGCAGATTGTTGGGGTTTGGGCTGGGTGTTTTTTTGTTGGATTTAGTTTGTTGGTTGGTTGGTTTGTTGATTTCGATTGGTAAGATACCAAGAAAAGATGATCAGGAAAACCAAACAGCAGATGATAAATTTCAGTGAAAAAGGACATGTGGAGCTTATCCTATACCATTACACAGCAACTCATCAATGTACAGCAGTGTCATATGTTCAGCCATGTGTTTAGAAAGATGCCATATTGGGGAAGCAGGCATATTTAAAGCTTGTATTTAACTGGACTCTGTGGTTACAGAGTTTGTATAGCATCCAACTCTACTAAGTGTGGCTTGAGTAAATGGTGTTTGTTGTGGTCATTGAATTCATTTAACTTCACATAACAAAGTACTGAGAGACATTTCTGTATTTTAGTCTGTGCTTCTGATGTGGTTTCTTTTTGAGCTTTCCTGAATTCTGATGAAAATAATGATATGACAAAATGGGCTTATCTAAGCTCACAGTAGTAGGTTGAGTGATGGCAATAAGGAACTTTTTTTTTTTTTTTAATGCAGGAAGATGGAAGGATTGAAAGTAGCCAGAACCTCATAGGATATTTGAGTAGCGCAACCTGGGCCCACAAAGGAGTTTTAGAATGCTGAGACTCCCCTTTTCGTCCTTCTTCACTTGTCCTCTCCTCTTCCCTCCACTTAAACCAGATATTTTAGCATCTATAAATATGTTGCTCCTACTCTCTAGTGAGAGTAATGTATGGAAAGTAAATGAGCAACCAATTTTTCTCTTTTCTACTGATATTCTTTTCAGCCTTTGTGCCTACTGTTATTCATCAGTATTTCTGGAATTTTTTTTTACTTTAGTTAAATTATAATTTTCTCACTCCATATTTCAAGTTCCAGGCTCTTACACATATTAGTAGAACAGTTTACTTAATTTTCTAATACTTTGTATCACACATATTAATACTTTCTCAAAGTGGTGGGAAGATGCAACCATTCTGTGCATGCCAGCGGGAGTGCCGAGGCCGTGCAAACCTCGGATGCAGTGACGGGCAAGAGAACCTTTGAATATATTACAAGTAAAAATATGCTTGAATAGCATCTCCATAAACTCGGGCTACTGCCATACTTGAGCTTGTCCAAACTGATTTGAAGCTATTTACAGACCTGTGTGATGTAATGGCCTCAAAACGCTGGTGTAGAGGAGACCAGATGAAGGTCCTTTGGGATCCTCAAGTGTAAGTGCAGCTGAGAGCCTGAGAAGAAAACATTAAATGCTCCTGCATAAGAGCAGACTCTTTCTCACCGGCCCACGCAGTTACCGCTGTTACGAGCATGCCACTTCTGTTTCACTGCTTGTATTCAACAGTACACAGCTGTGTTTTGTTGACTGATGCAGAGTGAGTACATGTATTTTTCTTGGTATTTGCCCTGAATTCTTTAAACACTAGAGGACTTGTTCACGATCACGCTGCACAAGCCCACACAGTGTTTTCTGGAATTGTATTTAAAGAACAACTGTTCTTTCTTGTTCTTACTCCAGAGATTAATGAAAGTATTAAACAAGTGGGTAGGACATAATCTTTAAGCATAATAGTTTGACCTAATTAGTTGAATTCAGTCCTTGCAATGAAAAATGTGCTCACGTGTTCTGAGAGCACTCCTATTTGAAATGCCTTGCTTTTGGAAAGAAAGAAGAGAGATGGGCATTCCTGGGTGAATCATTGTACTTCTGCAAATCTTGTTTTCCTGGCTGTAGAACAGAAAAATACGACTGATTTTTCTTAACTGCTTTGAGAGAGCTAGAAACTTTATTTTAGCTGTGATGGTTGAAGAGAGACATGTTTTGTAGGGAGAAGGGACATCTTATGTAGGAAGTTGTTATTATATTTCATGTCTTAAGTATATGAAAAATAGATTGTCATTATATGCAAAAATATATAATCACTACGTAAAAGTTGTCAGGAGATTATTAAATTCTATTGCATACCTTCCTTCCTAATGTACACGTGATATGTTAACATTTGCTAGCCTTTCATCCCATTCTACGCTTTGCAGTCTTAGATTAATTCAATCCATTTTTGCTCTAAAAGTTTTTTTTTATAAGAAGTTTTATTGTTTTGAAGAAAATCAGCTTTTCAAGAAATACTTGAGTAAGAAATGTGCCAAAAATTACTCAAAGTGTCCTTGTTAAAATGAAACCATCACAATTTTATATTGACTTAAAAAACATAAAAATACAAAATAGAATGTGCCAAGAATTTGTCTGGCATTATGTAGAACATGGAATAAAGATTCTGATCCCCTTTTAGTAAACTTTAGTAAAAATTTAGCTATGGAGTCCAGATTTGCTTGCCAAAGAGTTGACCTTCCCTGTTGTTTAGTCTAACCTATAGATGTGTTAGTATTTGTCACCTATTCTGCAAGCATAATTAGTTCTTAAAAAAAAAAGTACATATTCAGCTACACATTTGTCTGTTCAGCAGAAAAGTGTCTTTTTTTTCTTCTGCCTCAATGGGATCTGCTGTACCATGTACTGATTCAATGATCTGACTGGGTGCTCAGTATTTATTTTTTTTACTTAATAAGAGAGAGCATAAAAATAACTGTTGGAACCATCTGTACCTGAGCAAATTGTCATTTACAACAATTTGGAGTTTATTTGTATGTAATAATAAGCTCTTTAAGTGCTCCTTATGGATCTGTGGGGGTTTAGCAGAGATGGGAGTGGACTATCAGCAGGTAGCCTAAGGGTTTGAGTCTTGGTTTTTTGATTTCATTATTAAGTCTACAGAGGGAAAAATTTAGCTCATCCATTCTTCCCCTGATTTTATCTCATCCCAGAACAGTGAGGTAGCAGAACTAAGCAGTGGCCTGGGCATTTTGTAAACACCATAACATTTTTAGATGGTTCTTCAGCAATTTTTCACTACTCACAGGAAAGGAATGAGAAAAAGCAGTTCTCATTCTCTGAAAATTGTAGATCAGAGGTTGGATTGAGTGAGCTCTAAAATTGCAAGTAACTTCTTTCAAATTCTAATTAACATATCTCCTTAGTTTCCTCTAGTATATATAATTACAAAAAGGTACATGTCCTTCTCAGCTTCCTGGCCTACTGAGTACAGTAGCTTCACTGGCCACTTCTTGCTGTTAACATCGGCTCCAGGGCTGCTGCCTGCCCCATTTCCAGCTGCACTGGCATCTCTCCTTGCTAGACTAGTAGCCTTGCTCTCCTGTGGCACTTCCTTGGGAACTGTGTGATCCATGGGTTAGCTGCACGCTCTGGACAGGTTTGGTCTGGTCCCTTGCTCATTCCACCTGCCAGTGTGCCTGGTGTGCCTCCACATCTCACATTTCTGCAAGCTGTCACAGTCATTGCCTGGTTTCATTTGAAATGAAATCTTACATCTGCTCTCACTGAGCACATGAAAATTTGTAACACTTTCCAGTGCAAAGTCAAAAAGTAAGTGTAAGTAACATATGATCTTGGGGACTAGAAGTGCTTACAGTCTCCTGTGGAGACAGCAACTGCAAAATGAGTGTTGGAAAGAAGATTCCTGAAGTGTTCCTCAGATGGAACTGGTTAAGTTGGTATCTCCTTTATTCTGTCCAAATAGATCAGTGAAGGCTGGTTTGCAAACCAGACTGCTTCTGAGAGCATGCATTTCCTATGCCACGAGAAGGGCATTCAAGAGGCTTCATGAAAAGGGAATTTCCAAATAAGCTCAGCCTTTCTCAGAGGTACTTGTACGGATCAGCTCTGTGATAGCTCCTCTTATTTTGAAAACTATTCCTCTCTTCCAGAAGAATTTATCCTTTGAATTTTTTGCACAGTTTTACTAACAGAACGTAGCTTTGGCTTCACTAGAGATGATGGTTTCTGGTTCAGTACAATGCCCTGACATACTTCATTAGGTCAACATAAACTATTCCCTAAAGCTCATGTTACTCTTGTAAGAGAAGTAACCCCCATGTACAACATGCTTTTCTGTAACTATTCCTTCTATTTATAAATAATGGACAAAGGCCTCGTCTCCACTGCAGTGCCAGCTCAGGCTATAATTCAGCTTTTGCCCTTGCCCTCAACTCCATACCCAACATGCACAAGTCACTGATTCAGTTCAAGGGTTTGGGGCCTGCCAGAAGTTTGTCCTTGCTGCCTGGTTTAAATAATAAGCAGCAGGGATTGGGGTGCGCGCCAGTATTGGCTACATGTGTACGATCATTTCTATTTGCATTAGGATTCTGCAGTTGAAGCTGCGGTTCAGTTCATGCTTCAGAGTGTTCTTGGAGGCTGTGAACAGCAGACCTTTGGGGTAAAATTAAAGGTGTTTCAGAACATTGCATATTACACTCAAAGTGATAACTATGCCCTTTCACAGGATCAGACTATCGTAGGTTAATACAAAAGAAATCCCCTGTTAAGTGTGCAGGGGTCCTTCCCACCAATCCTTCCACTGTACAGATCCAGTGTTGTTGTGACATGCTGCTTGGTGGTGTAACTACAATTTTTAGCACGCTGCCGGGGCTGTTAATCTGCTTGCAATCATTTTGTGTGCTTGAATGCTGTTGCTGTTATTTACAGTTTCCCTGTGTAACCGCTCTCATTTGAGATTAACTGGCTTGAGCAGAATAACTCCAACTAATCAGGGAGAAGTTTACCTTTTTCCCTTGCATGAAATAAATGTGTGGAATCTTCCCTCAAGGCTTCCCTGAGTTCTTGAGTTGTTAAATCACTTATTTCCATATTTGCTTTTTTGTAACGTGCCGGCTTTAATCAATGCAGTGGGACTTTCCGACAGCACTGGGACGTATTTCACATTCACATCAGAGGAGAGCAAAGCCCAGCAGGATAATATCTATTTTTTTTTAAGCATAAGACATTTCGTTTTGCTAAACAGATTGGATGTTCTGATTTGAAATTATGAGTGGTTAAACGGCATCCTATCTTTAATTAGGTTGCACAGACTGAGTCATTTTGCAAGCTAGACATTTTAATTTACAATCTACTGCACTGCAGCACTCTTCAGGGCCTTCTGCTATGTAATAAGGTATTCAACTTGCAGCACAGGCTTTAAAAATATCGGAGTACTCTCTGTGACTTCACTTGTTTATTTTATATTTTCAATTCTAGTTGCAAATCAAACATGCAGTTACAGAAGCTGAAATTCAGAAGCTGAAGACAAAGGTAAGAATCAATATATGGTTAATACATGTAATACAGTTTTCTTCGTACAAAATCAAATCTGAAGACATGTATGTGGGTGGAGAAGTCAACATCCTTATAAAAGGCTGATTAAGAAGCACAGTGGCTCAGCTAAATCTTGTCTTAGTGTATATTCTATATTCAAATTTTCAAGTAAAATCTTAAGTGCTGCTATTGAGAGAAACTTCAACTTTTGCAGCTTCAATTAAACATACGTTTTAAGGGGTATCATAATGACCAAATAGCAGATTTCTAGTTTTAAAATTCTAATGCATTTTCTCAGGTTTTAAAATTGTATTTGGATTGAATATTCAAGTCCAAGTTAGTTGTTTTTTTTTTTTTACCAGTGATGTTAAAGTATCCTGTTTATGCTACGTTGCTTTTTTTGACATTTTAAAAAAAACTGACCTGTTTTAAATGTATTTAATAGAAATTATTTTTTATATACAGAAGAAAAAGTGTTGTTATATCTTGTTGCAGTTCTCTTCAAAAGATACTCTAGAAAGAAAAAATATTACCAGTTTAAAAGAAAACATCACACAATCAGTTGCTAGTTATTAGACTGAATTTGCTATAGCAATAAAAAGGAATTTTATTTTTTTGTTGTTTGTTTGTTTGTTTTGGGTTTTTTTTTTGTACTAGGGTAATCTTTATGGTTACCCTAGTACAGCTAGGGTAACAGTACAGCTGATAATTCAGTTGTTCAGTAATACAAGGTTTTGTAATGACATCCTGCTCTTTGAGTCTGAATACATTATAAGGGAAATAAAAAGGAGATAAATTGAACTTCAGAAAAAGATTTTAGATTATTATTTCTTTTTGGCAGCATTTGCACTCACCATGTATTTTGCACAGTGTTTATCAAATCTGCATAAATTATTGTTAAAAACAAATTTAAAGTGCAACTATTTTCTGCAATTCTGTAAGAATTGCATGCAATGTAATTTCTGTTGTAGTGTGTCAGTTCAGAAGGTCAGAAATCTTTTCTTCCTCTGCTTTCCAGTTCCAATCTAACAATTGGAGCCACACGGTCGATCCCTTGGGATTGTGCTGAGCCCCATTGACTTGATAACAACAATGCGTGGGTGTAAACGTTCATCTGTGCAAATTCATTTGCAAGATTAGGGTTAATTTGCCTTTTTATGTTGGACCTCTTTACCTTTATTGTGTTTTCAGTAAAGCTGAAGAAATTGTGACTAGTTTAACAATATTACTAATAAAATTGCAAACAATTTTTTTGTGTGTATCATCTGTGAATGCCAGCAGAACTACCTAGAGCAAATTAAACAGTCTTGATAAGTAAAAAGGGGTGTTAAGGCATTTTTTGTTCGCTGTAAATTCTGGGAGCTAAAATACACAAGCTGCTGAATGACAGCACCAAACAATGAAAACTGTAGGTAGTGTCAGTTAGGAAGCAAAACGCCAAACACACACACACAAAAAAGTGGATATCAGATTCCCCCTCCCCAAAATAAGAAACATTATCATTTTATGAAAGGGTATCAATGCTTTATAGCTAGCACCTGAGCCACATGCATAGAGCAAAATGCATCCCTAGTGCTGACTGATTAACCCTGCACTTTGCCCGAGTACTCCACTATTGACATTTTCAAATGTCAGTCAGTCAAATAGGTTACTATAACCCAGAGATGCATAGAGGCTGCACTGGAACACTGGGCAAAAGCTCTACTTGGTTTTACGAGGAGTAATAATGTACGTATCAGCCTGTTTTCTTTGTCTTGGAACACTCTTTGCACTGCTAGCATATTACTAGTGTTGTTACTAATTTACTGATTTTCACTATTCATGTTGCTTGAATTAATCCTGAACTATAAGGCAGGTTTTTATGGACTGCATCTCCTCTCCTTTGTTCAGCTGCAGGCTGCTGAGAATGAGAAGGTGAGGTGGGAATTGGAGAAGACCCAGCTCCAGCAGAACATTGAGGAGAATAAGGAAAGGATGATGAAATTAGAAAGTTACTGGATTGAGGCACAAACCCTGTGTCACACGGTGAACGAGCATCTCAAGGAGACACAAAGCCAGTATCAGGCTCTGGAGAAGAAATATAACAAGGCAAAGAAATTAATCAAGGATTTTCAGCAAAAGTAAGCGGCTACACCAGGGGCAGCAAATGACTTAGTGGCCAGATAGGAAACATGTATGTGATATATTTTGAAATATGAACCTCCCTATTAAACACCTGTAAGGTAAACAATATTTTCCACTTTTTTTTTTTCATGGAAAACGTGGGCTCTTTATTATGGGAAAATGTTACTAGTATTCGAGCTGTAGTCATACTGTAGCTAAATAAAGACTTAGTGTGTAGTATTCCAGGTTGGAATGTTTCTGAATTACTGGATAACTCAATGTGATTACAAACAACAAAGAGTAATCATAGTAAAACATTTGATTAGCCAGGTTTGCAGGAATTTATATTGGTACTGTGTCAGCTGGATTCATTCCTACTGTGTACTAATGTGACATCAAGAAGAATATTGTTTTGTTACATTTTACATTTTATTTTTCTTCTTGTAGATGCCAGGAATGTTTCAGCTGAATTGAGCTAACTGATGATTACCTGTCTCCCTCTGTTTCATGTGGTCCTTTCTCCCTGATGGCTAGCAAAAATTATAGCATATATCTTACATTTCTATAACAGCTTCCATTGCCCAAATTCCTTTTTTTTTAACCCAGCAACTTTTTCTACTGAAATATACTTGTTTAAAGAAGAAAACTCAAAAACATACAGCAATATCAAGTGACAACTGGGACTGCAGAAATTACTTTCCTGTCCCATTAAAAAGCGAATTAGATTGTCAAAGCGTCATTACCTGTCTTGGAATTTCAGGACTGTTCCAGAACTAGTTTGCATCTTGTGCTTTCTATCAAAAATGTCTTTGATATTCAAAATAAAAAGAGATAGGGAAAGTCACTAGAATGAGTTTGGATAGCCTTTGTTGTTATTCTGCTTTATATTAGTAGAATGTCTAGTTGGTTGTTTTAAAGTATCTCCGACTCCTAAATTGACCAAACAGGTTTCCTTATAGCTTACCAGAAAATTTGATGTGTACCTGAAGAGTTACAGATGTCCTTTCTGCGAAAGAGTGCAGTCATGCTCTAGTAAAACAGAGATTTTGCTCCATTTCCCACAACAGAGAACAACATAAATTAAGATAATGTTGTTTCTGTTGTAAATACAGAGTATGAAAAAATTTAGTTTAACTTTTTTGATGATCAGTTAGAACTGAGATTTTTTTCCCAGATAAATTACTTTTACCATTTTTGCGTCATCCTCTAGCGTATTCACTTAGACTAATCGCGTAGGGGTTTGTCCTGATTGCAGTTTTCTAGTCCTTATTAAGTAAGTGATAAATTATTTGTTCAGGACAGATTTTTTCAGATGCATAGCTTAAGATTTTTCAGAACATTTTTGTTTCTGTTTAAGTCTGATTGCGTTGATGACAGCAAATACATTTTTATTTTTCTCTAAGAGAACTTGACTTCATCAAACGCCAGGAAGCTGAACGAAAGAAAATAGAAGATCTGGAGAAAGCACACCTGGCGGAGGTTCAAGGCTTACAAGCTCGTGTGAGTAGCATTTACTCTTCTATGTTAAGAATGAGGGTGATATAAGAAATGTCCGATATTCTGGAAAAACAACATATCTAATGGGGAGGGTGTATTGGGATATGTGTTATGGGTAATACTATGTTGTATTTCTTTCAGATACAAGACTTGGAAGCAGAAGTTTTCAGGCTAATGAAACAAAATGGGAGCCAGGTTAACAACAACAACAACATTTTTGAAAGGCAAACATCTTTTGGAGAAGTTTCTAGAGGAGATCCGGTGGAAAATATAGATACTAAGCAAGTGACCTGCCTGGATGGCTTAAGTCAAGGTTGGTTTGAAATGCACCCTAACTCCTATGAATCATGGATTGATTGGGGTTGGAAGAACCTTAAAGTTGATCTAGTCCCAACCTCCCTGCCATGTGCAGGGACACTCCCACTAGACCAGGTTGCTCAAGGCCTTGTCCAGTCTGGCCATGAACACTGTCAAGGATGGGGCATCCACAACCTACTGTGCCAGTATCTCACCCCCCTCACAGTAAAGAATTTATTCCTAATATTCTAACCTAAATTTTCCCTCTTCCAATTTATATCCATCACTCCTTGTACATTTCCTGACAGAGTCCCACTTCAGCTTCCCAGTGCTGGAAGGTTGCTATGAGGTCTCCACGCAACCTGCTCTTCAACAGCCCAAACTTTTCTCAGCCTGTCTTTGGAGGGGGTGGTGCTTCGGTTGTCTTAGCAACCTCATGACACTCCTCTGGATTTGATCCAACAGCTCCATGTCCTTCTTATGCTGGGGGCCGCAGAGCTGTACACAACACTCCAGGTGGGGTCTCACAAAAGCAGAGTAGTAGAGGGTCAGAATAGAGGAGAGCAGAGTAGAGGGTCAGAATCACCTCCCTCAACCTGCTGGCCTCACTCCTTTTGATGCAGCTGAGGATTCCATTGGCTTTCTGGGCTGTGAGCACACACTGCCAGCTCATGTTGAGTTTTCATCAACCATCACCCCCGAGTCCTTCTCCACTGGGCGACTCTCAGCCCCTTCTCTGCCCAACACGTAGGTGTGCCTGGGGTTACCATGCCCCAAGTGTAGGGCTCTATAATGTACGTTAACAGCGTGGTTATCATTTAGGATTTAAAAGAAACAATTAATAATGCCGGGATGTTGATATTTTTCCAAAATTCAGTATCTAATGACAACTGTATCAGTGTTCTACCTAATAATGCCTATACAGAGTCCCAGAATAGCTGTACAATGTATATTCTAATAGAAATGGAAGTGACTAAGTGTTAATATAGGAAAGATCATTATTGATTTCTTAAAGCTTTCTGTAGGATGCCATCAACATTTAGGTTTAATTTGATGCTTCTGGTATTTTAATAAAGTAGGAGGAAACTGTGTTTTCTCCTGTGTTCCTAAATCTGTCCCTAATTACCCAACCACCAAAGATGAAACAAGAACAAAGTTACTAGAATGAGAAAACAATGTTAAATCCACTATTTTTAATGCTTCTCTGCAAGTTCTAATTGCACCTTGGTACAGACATCAAAAGGAACCTTGTAGGTGGCACTCACCATTTCTCAGGATGGAACCTTTTGTGAATAACATGCAAATTCTTTACAAACACGTTCATTAAAAAACTTAATCAGCTATAGCGCAGCCTGATTTACAACATCAGATTTGTAATACTTTGTTCTGCATTACCAAAGAAACAAAACAGTTTGTGCCAGCACTGAGATGTGGATAGATGCTGTCAGCAGGGTGGCTGTGCCCTTTACTTGTTTCGCACAGAAAAGATAATTCTCATTTTTAGACTGTGCCAGTGAAAACATACAGATAACTTCCACAGCTTAGTTAAAGTTCTGTAATTACAAGTGGCTTCTCACTGTTTAAGGATATGCAGAATTAAAGCCAATTTAGGCCTACAGCCTTGGGAAAAAACCTGTTTGATGCAGGAGTAGGCAATACTTACTCTGTATTCAGTAACATCTTTGAAATCACATGTCAAAGGTGTTGGAATTTTGACAAGGGAACAACCAAACTTTGTTCCTATAAACTATAATATTTTTTATTTCTGTGGTGAAAAAAATACAATACATTGTGAAATAAATTAATTTCTAGCAAGTATAGAGGTGTTTTATTAAAATTGATATTTTAGCAATCATTTCATGTGTGGACCTAAGCAATATTGCTTTACAAAGAAATCAATGGGAATTACATTATCAACAAATATAAATAAGAGCTAGTCCTGCTGAAATGATATTAGGTGATATGCAGACCTTGTGGAATTGGTTTCCACAAATCTTCAAAGAGCTTCTTTCTATCAAATGTTTATTGTACTGAAATTTCTGAAGTTCAGAAGAGCACTCAGGATGAGAAGTCTGTATTTCTATTGTAGAGACTCAGTAAAAATGTAAAACTTTTAATACTTAGCCAAACTGTTAACAGAAAACCTTTCAGTAGTTTGCATCAGGAGAGGAAAACGTGTTTTCTTCACCTGACTCACAAAAATCATGTTTACATGTACTGTTGTAACAATGTCCGCACCCATCTATGACTCAAGAGCTAAAATCCAGGAATTTCTACACATTTAAAAAAATGTAAAATTCTTTCTAAAAATTTGAAAATTCTTTGTATAGCATTAAAATTCTGCATGTCAGTGCTTCAAAAGTATGTTTTCCAATTGATGCCTTTCCATGAAAATTTTCAAATAGCTGTCTTTTTTCATTGCAAAAATGTTCTCTTGGAGCAATGCCACCAGTGTTAATTACTTATAGAATTAAAATACATGAATTTAAATGCCCAAGTTTAATCACCTGATACAAACACAAATTATTTGCTGGGAAAAATAGATAATCAGCAATGATTTTTTGAAAACCTAAGCAACATAGTTAGACCTTAGATTCCAGGCTGGATTTGTGTTTTTAAGAGAGCCCTAAATGTGCTATAGCACTCTTTGACTTCCATATACCCTTTCCAGTAAATTCTGTATCAGTCTCTGAAATCTGTATCAGACTGCAATGTAGTGATACTTACTCTGCAGACAGAGAGCCTAGGTATCCATATAATTCTTGTTTAACCCTTTTGAGAAAAGGACTTGCCATTAACTCATGATGTTTGCAGAGGAGCTATAAATGTCAGGGAAGATGTCCATGATGTTTTGGAGTGCAAGCAGAATCCCTCTGGGTTCTGTGTGTTGTGCACGCTGCCTTTGTGACGTTCACACTGGTGCTTCAGTCTCTTTTCTGGCTCTTGGTTGGCGAGTATAACACATACTCCCAGATCAAGCCTGGAGTAGGACTGCATGTACACAGCCACATCCCTTAGTTTTTGTTCAGAAGCTTGCAGAACTGTCTTCCCTCAAAAAATTAGGTTATGTAAAAATATCATATTTTAATTAAAAATATATCTAGTATGGTCTTGCTTCCATGTGATCTGGGACATTTTATTGCATTCTTACATATTAATAGACTTGGGAAGAAGTAATGGATGCAACTTGATGGTCACAAGTATTCGAGTATATCTCTTCCTAACACTGCTGGTGCTCTGGCCATGTTTAGCATCATGACAGACTATACGACTCCTCAGGCTGTAACACAACCTCATACTGAGCTTAAGGGGCTGCCAGTAACATCAGTGGAAGTTAAAAGGAGAAAATCAAAACCATTGTGACCCACAGAATTCTTCTATTGCTTTGCCAGGGAATACTAGAAACCTGAGGATTGTGTTTCTCTTACAAATATATGATTTATTCTGAAAGTCCAGAAAAATTATATTAAGTGCATTGTAGCTTTCTGATTTAGTGGTCATGGGCTGTAGCTGCAGTAATGAATCAAGATACTTACTGAAAGGAGTCAGTGGTTTAAAATCTAAACAGTTCAGTGCTAAGGTTGTCTTTGACAATATTTACTCATCTCTGTGCAAGTGCCCATTCAAGCCACTTTGTGGCTGTACTTTTGGGTGTCTTTGGATACCTGGGGACGCATTATTTCACAGGAGGAGATCTTGAAGTCTATCAGCCTGTAAAATGGAAAAAGAGTGGGAAGACAGACAAGCTCTTTCCTACTCCACGGTGGTACTGAAATAATTCAGATGGAAGACCATTGGAGTCAAGTGGTTAAACATCTGATGAAAGAAAGTCTAATTACATTTTCTCTGAGAGCAAAATAAAACCTGTTATGACTTTTATGTGAGAGACGTACCAGGCTCCCTAGTGGGTTGGGAGATTCCTAGGGAAATGTGTGATATGTGTTTTTGTGCTCGGAGGAGTGAAGGCTGGCTGCTCTCTGCAGAAGTGGGAGCTGGAACTGGGGGTAACAGCACGTGTGGCTGGAGCAGAGACTGTCTGACAGCAGCCCAGTTCCACTGCAGCAACATGTGGTGAGCAGGGCAGGACCAGTGATGGGGTGGAGGAAGCAGGAAGCTCCAGGCCCAGATGGTATTTTGCTTTAACAAAGCCAATATGACCAGCTGTGTGAACACTGTTTGCTTAATTTCAGCGTGAAAGGAAGGGATGTATGGAAGTGTTTACTACTGAAAGAACAAGTGTAAGCAGTTCAAGCCATGACAATGTGCAACTATCCTATGGAGTACTTAGGACAGAAGCCTAATTACAAGTCAGACAATGCTAATTCTTTTGTATTGTCGTGTGACTGGAAAATTTAACTCCTACTCAAACAAAAGTAAAAAATATCTCTAAGATCAGATTCTTATTAATTAGTGTGTTATGAATGCAGTACTTAGACAAGTAAATTAATCTAATGGGTTATGGTTTGATTTATACTGTCAGGATTGAAAAAAAAATAGTTAAAACCATAAAGAATCTGTTCCTTTTCTGGTGTAAAATGCAAACACAGCTCCTAAAATGTTTTTTGTCTTAGTTACTACAACTTTATAAAGTTATAAATTTGTTACAATATTCAGATTTCATTTGAGTGGATTCTTGATAGCTAAGAAAAGTGCAACTATGTTAGCTCTTGTTGTAGAGGCAAGCCATATATGCAGTGTTCAGTACTCTTGCTCATAAGACATTCAGGAATAGGGTGGCTTTGAAAGTAGGCAGGTAAGATGGTTTCATTGTTCCATTTTTTATACGCAGTATTTCTCCAATTTTCATGTATTGCATAGTGATGTTTATGCTGTGATGGAGGAAAACTCTCTTCAGGCCAAGCACATGTAAGTCCTTCTGAAGTAGTCTAAGAGGACCTGCTTTCTGGGCTAGTATAGCTGGGTTTGTGTGGTCCTTCATGTAACTGTGGGAATAATTTGTTGAGTTCTTAAGTATCTGGAGTTGATTCTTTGCTGTACACTTACTGAATCTGTGTAGATAAACTTGTTTATGCAAATGACTTCTTTTTTCCAAGAGTACTTTTGCAGTTACAAAGATACAGGTACAAGTAAAATGTGTCTTTTCTAACATAAATGATTCTATGCAAAGTGCTTGTGCTTGCATGTACTTCCTCTGTTAGGAAGAAGTAGCAAAAGATTGTTCTGCTAAATAGCTCCAAATCCTGTTTCCATACAGATTTCAATGAAGCAGTTCCAGAAACAGAGAGACTGGACTCCAAAGCTCTGAAGACTCGAGCTCAGCTGTCAGTGAAGAACAAGCGGCAGAGGCCTTCCAGGACCAGGCTGTACGACAGCATCAGTTCAACTGATGGAGAGGACAGCCTTGAACGAAAGGTGAGAAGGACTCTACCCCCTCTTTCAGACTTCCTATGGAGTGCTAGATGGCCCCTGTAAGTCATTTCATTCTCTATCCTTTCATTGTAGCACAGGCAGTATTTATTCTTCTGTGGCCAGTCTGCTGTGAATGTCCTTGAGTAATGTGCGAGTCCAGTCTCCTTTTGAGTCAGCACATCTGGTTTTTTTGGTGTTATTGTGTTTTGACTGGAATCGTGGTCTTTTGGATTTACATGTGCTTTATAATGCAGAATTGGTCCTTTCATTTATGCAGGAGGTGACAGGAGCTGGAATTGTGCATTTCTCTATTTGTTAATTTTTTAACACAATTGTTTTGTCCTATTCTGATTTCTGTCTGAAAGCAAATACCAATAAACAACATTGTGTGTGCTGTCAAAGGGTAATGCCATGAATTACTAGAGCGTTTCGTACAAATAGAAAGCTAAATAATGGATAAAAGAAATGCATGTTCAAAGTAAATCTTTCTCTGTTTGCTTACTAAATGGTATAACCTGCTTTATAATCTCTTATACCAACAGCCATCACACAGTTACAGTAGTCCCATGCACATTTCAAAATCACCACTGCCCTTATGCATGAGAGCATCCTCACCAGCATCAGATTCTGGTGCTTCCTCCCTCTCCCCCGTGGCTAGCAGTGCAGCAATCTCACTTGACAACCTAACTGAAAACCAAGAAGAAGAACAGCACCACAAAGGAGGTGTCCTTTCCCCATATGCTCGGGGAGACACTCCACTTTCGTCTCCTTCAAAATCTGGGCACAGCTCTGAAGCATCTCCTTTGCATCACCCAGCTGGCAGGAATATTTTACAGGATAAAGGTATTACTATTTTTTTTACAATAAATTGATGCTTCATTTTGCTCACTTACACCTACTTAGTGACCTTTTGTTGTGTAGTAGGACCTTAGTAACTAGCAGGTCATCATATCATAACTTCTTTTGTCTACCTGGAAGTCAGAAAATTACAAATGACCATGTCTAAAGGTATAAGAAAATGACAAAGTTTAAAATGGGATAGGGAACTGCTTACTTTTTTTTTTTTTTTCTTTCTTGGAACTCACTGAAAAAAAAAAACAGGGAAGTTGCCTTTAAGAGAACGTTGTATTGTGTTTTTTAAAAAAACAAGAGTATTTAACCTTGGGACATCTCTATTACAAAAATGCTTAACACAGTGTACTTACTCAAATAATGGGATTTTGGCACTGCTAGATGATTTTTTTGGAGGGTGCAGAAAGGAGTGTAAAGCAAGAACAACATATTGTAGCTTTCAGTTGCTGAGAGGCAGCACAGTCTAGATTTAACGTGAGGTTGGTGTCTGTGCACTCTTCATTTATAGACATAAAAAACAGAAGGTAATTTTTGGGGGAGATTGTCCTCATTCGTTTTAATTTAATTTAGATTCTTTAAATTCTAGCTGGATAATAGGATGCAATCATACATAGCTCAGGAAAAGTGGTAAACACCAGTTTATTATATTAATTAACAGTATGGTATGTCACAGAACACTGAGCTCTCCCTTTCAGGTGCCTTTGGAAGTGAAAATTAGCATTTGACACAACTTCAGCATTCTTGCAATCTGAAACTATCACATAAGCTAAAATATGTGATAAAAGCCATTTATAGGTGAAGGGTACAGGAATAGGTCTAGATAGGTTCATGATAGACTGGCTTACTTGAATTAACTTAAAAGAACAATTTATTGTAATGTTTTTGTGGGTTAAATTGTTAATGATTCAAAGTTAAATTCAATATTTGAGTTTTGCCAGTAAAAATAAGGGTGTGAACGTAAGAGTGTGACTTTCCAAACTCATGCTTCAGCTTGAGTGTGATTGGTTTATCAGGAAAGCCCTAAATCCTGCATTGCCAACTGATGTACAGAAAGTACCTTGATAAAATTTTAGTGGAAACTAGCCTTGTCATGTAAGGAATAGGGTATTACATTCCACCCACTGTGTCACTCTTTCCATTTTAGGTTTGAAAAATAATCTCTGTCTAAATATTGATGTCACGCTTTCCCCACTGTGACCATAAAGTAAACAACCTGTGCTTTTGTGGGTATCCACGTTCAGATTAGTAGTACATTAGAATTAATCAGAGAGATTTAGTTTCAAATGGAAAAATTGCATTAATAAGTCCTAAATATATATATATATATATATATATATATATATATATATATATGTATACTAAAGCAGTTGTTTGGCAACAAGTGTTGTAGCAATACTATTTTGACTGTTAATTTGGCTGTTAAACTCATACAGCTCAGAAAATAAAAAGAGACATTGTATTTGTTCTATTTGTTCAGGTGAGGGGTTTTTTTTAGAGATGTAGAGACAACATCTGTGGACAAATGTATGTCCATTGGTAAATCTCTCATTAGCAAAAGTGAGCATTAGCAAGCTCACACTTTTCTTTTGTTCTTTTTCCTTATGAGATCCTGCAGTGTTGTGGGAGGGGCTGCAGTTGTGTGAGATGAGTTTCATTGCAAAATGATGAGGAATTTTGCTTATTTGGCTTTTAATTACAGCTTTTTCATGTGTATGTGATGAATTTGTTTTCTTCAGTTCTTCCTGCTTTGTACAACAGCATCCTTTGATAAGGCCATGAGGTGACCCCTGTGGGCAGTACTCGCTGACGTGGGGCTGCCTGCAACTGGTGTGTGACCGTGGGGAGGAAAGTTAGGTCTAGTCTCCTTTCACATCCATCAGCCACAGACGGCTTACACACCAGCTTGAGGCTGGAAGTGATGGATTAAACAGCTTCTGTGTGATTTATCCTGAGGAATTGGCTTTCCCTTAACCTCTCTGAAGAACAAGGAGCTGGGGAAGGTGGACCTATCCCGGGTGGCTGAAGTGCCCTCCTGCCCCGACGGGGTGCCTGCAGCTCTGGCTCATGGTCACTGCCGTGTGCCAAGCACTGTGTACTTCCCTGCATGCAAGACCCTGTAGATTCAGATCTACTCTGCTATGAGGCTGGTTTTGGGACCTAGCCTATCTATTTGCCACTATATCCCATAGCCAGCACAGGTATTTTCCCCAGGAAGTCATCGTTATTCAGAGGGCCCTGGCTGGCCCAAGCTGTGTGAGAGGGGAAGTATTGTGGTACAAGAGCCTGAATAGAAATTTGTTATACCAGGTAGCTGCTACATGTCCTTGTGAGCTCTCCTTGTGAGATGTTTTTTTTCTACTACAGCATCAAAACCTCCATTTCACTGACTTTCATTAAGAAGTTTCTCAAAAAACCACATTGCCCCTTGGCCCCCAAGCCTGTGAATAGCTAGTGTGCAAACAAACTTTGCAAGTTTTTACTTGAAAGTGACAATTTTGGCAGTGATTAAATGAGAAATGTTCATTAAAGGTCAAAGAGGAACCATAAGAGGAGACAGAAGAGGAGTGTGCGTGGTGTAAGGTTGATGCAGAGTGTGTATTGCCTTAAGTTCTCCTCTACTTCCCTGCAGAATGGATTTCTTCTGAGGAGACTTCTCCTTGCTTTTGTCATTTTTCATTTTACTTTTTTTTGTTTGCTTTTTTGGCATGAGATTACTTGTCATTTGGTTTTTTTTTCTTTTTTTTTTAATATAAGGACTTGTGTTGGTAGAAACAGTATGGCTTTTAGAGTGTGGGTATTGCAAGAGGCTTATTTTCCTGCATTTCAAAGGATTTATGAACCAGTTGCACACTACATTTTTTACTTGAATGAAAAGTTGGGCAGATATTATCCTCAAAGCAGCTCACAAAATTCTATACACAGAGTTGACTGTCCTGTGGTAGTGCTGTGGTATTTTGGGTTATTTCTGAGGGCTTAATTTATATCAACCACAGTGGGAGAAATCCACAAACGCAGCAGTGCTCTCAGTTAAAAGTTACTCTGTGTCTGAGGTCACATTGCAAAAGCCACCAAACCACAAGTGATATGAGTGAATGACCTTCATTTGCTTCCTCTAGAGTATTTGGGAACAGTCCTTATGTTTTAAGAGTAACTGTGTCTGAATTTTTTAACTACCGTATGTTTTCTTTTGGCTTCCATATAGATTTCACAGGATGTTTTCCAGACTCAGATTCATTGTTTTGGCTTTATAGGTACTGCAGACTGTTTCCTCTCTAGGCTTTGACAGTGTTTGTAGAAGAGATCAAAAATTGATAGATGTCTCAGGGCAGATTTATTAACTAAGCTACTTTTAGTTCTTTCTTTCTTTGGGTTGTGGGGTTTTTTTTGGTGGTGGTTTTTGTTTGGGGTTTTTTTTGGCTGTTGTTTTTGTTTGTTGGGGTTTTTTGGTTTTGGTTTGGCTTGGGTTTTTTGTGTTTTTTTTTTTTTTTTTTTTTTTTTTTAATTCAGAGTGGTTAGATTTCAAGTTAAATGTTTAGTTTAACAAAGATGTTCAGGCTAAACAGATGAACTGTTTTGTAGCATGTCCATCATAAAGGGTATCCTTGGCTCCAAATTTAAAGAAAGCATTTCAGGAGTCGTTTTGGAAGTAAACATACATACAAAATGAATTCTTTAAAAAGAAACTCACAACTGCTGCTGAGTTTAAAAATGGATTCATTGTAATGTTTACCTGTGAATCTTTTGTGTTGTTTGATTTATTACATATTCATTAAAACTCAACCAAAATTACCTTTCCATTTTCTGCAATTAAAATAAGGTTTCTTCATGTGTGTTTTCAAATTCTGATTTTTCCTATTCCTTTTCATACCGTCTTCCTAAAAATGAGAATTCCCCTGTTTAAATTGTGTACTCACACACATGTTTGTTTGCATATCTAATTGTGAAAAGATACACAAGGTGTTCTGGATGGAAAGTAGCATTTAAAATTAATAATGTACATTCTTCCGTACAAATGTATCCTAGATGGTGCCACATGTGCTCAGGCAGCAAGAACAGCTAGCCCTACTATAGGGCATACAGAAAGACTAAAGCGAAAACTTGCAGATCTTGGGTAAGCATTTTGTTATAAAAAATACTTCTTTTTTTTCATAAAAAGGATTGAAAGTAAAATTTTGAAGATACTTCCTGATGTTTTCTAATATTTTTGTAGGGCTCCCTTGAGAAGGAGTTCAAACAAGGGCAAGAAGCGGAAAGAGAAAGAAGTTATTAGGGTGACCTATGGCAGTAGGTATGGGTGAAAAATTGAGGATGCAATAAATGATAAACCAGAAACATTGGAAAAACCTGATCATCCTAGCAGATGGAACATTAACAGTCCCACTGACTTCATAAATAAGTGTTAAGCTTTGAGATAACCTTCTGAGCTTACAAACCTCGATTCCTTGGCTAAGAAAAGACTAACATATGATCTAAAAATACTTGGAGATTTATAATGTCATAGAATCATAGAATATCTCAAGGTGGAAGTGACTCACAAGGATCATCATGTCCAACTCAATCACTACTGCTGTTGCATCCACTAATGGGATTTGCAGAAATAGATTTTCAGAGCAGGCTTACAAGATGTACAGTCAGTTGATAAAACCCATGAACCAGAAACCTTGACACAATTCCATATATTTTTTTAAAAAGCCCTCAGAGCGAGGTTGGGGAGCAGCTGTTCACTGCAGCTTTGCGGCGCCCACATTAGGAATGCTTTCAGGAGTTTTTTTTTTAAATGAAGATGAACATCAGAAGTTCAAAATTGATAGGAATGATGCTGATTGCATATCATGTCACCAACTTTCAGGCAGGGAATTGTGAGATCTGAGGAGACCACATCACCAGCATCTGGACTCTGAATAAATAAATGAATATGCAAAATGACAGTAGGCAATCTTCTCTGCAAAAGCTACTGTAGATATTTACTTGAGGCCTCTCCTTACATACTCATGAGCCTGACAAAATCAAAGCTACAGGCGTAATACCTAATTCCAGGTATGAAAGACATTAGTGTTAGGAGGGCTAAGCAAACTTAATATGTTCCAAAAATCTAGAAAGGATATACCAACTCAAAAACTGCACATAAAACAATGTAAAAGAAAACCTACGTGATAAAAGTGCTGTTGGAAGAAAGCAAAGCTCGAATGCTACTCAGAAAACCATTGTGGTGGAAAAGTAGTATGTAGCCATTTGTGAAGTTCTCCTGACAGTCTAATATACAGAGACCCTGTGACAAGTATATTGTGTAGCTCTGTGAAATCAGAAAAGCAAAAGAAACCTTAGACTGATTTGCACCCTCAGGCACACTATACCAAAGTGCAGTGTTCTATCTCAGCATACATTTGTACATTTGTATCCTGCAAATACCTGGCAGGATCTTTGGTGATCTTAGGCAGCAGTTGTTGCCTCTGTGCTGGTGTCTGAAAACTTGTTGCATTGTGTCTGCTTGCAGTGTGACCTGGAGTTAGTGATACTCACTGCTGGGTTTCCCTAGTGACACGGGGAGATTTGTTGAAGCCAAATCTGCACTTCTGTGTGGCTGTGAGGCAGTTAGTGCCCTTAGCAGGGTATTAGACATCATGTAGCATTTGCATACCAAGGCACAGGGCAGGGGAAATGAATGTATACTTGTTTGTAAGAACTTGGTATGTCCCTTATACCAACACACTGTTACAGATGTTTGTGAGATCCCATAGGTACCTTCCCTAGAGACGTCAGATCTCAGCACAGAAAGATCAGTTGCTTATTAGACCATTTGGTCTATCAGTTATTTGTGTTGATGCTTAATATTTCTTTATTACAGTTCAATATTTCAGCATTACAGTTGCTAAAAGTAAAGTTTCATACTGCTTTCAAAGTCGAAATTCATGAGCATTTGTAATTCTCACTGCGCCTCTATAAACTGGAAGGTTATTATTTCAGTACAACTTTTTAAACAGCCACTGTCACTTCTTTTGTTACTAACTCCAAAGAACTTGCCTCAGAAGAAATGTAAGGATGTCTTCTCTACTAGTCCAAAGCTGTATAAACTCTTTGAAAGAAGGAACATGATGAAAAGACAGGATCCTGTTATAATTATATCAATTACAGCAGCTGATTGATGTAGAATTAATCACACTTTTAGATGGATGTTGCATGCATTATTTTGCCATTGCCAGAAAGTAGCACTCAGGATCTGTAAATAAAATCCTGAATTATTTCCTAAAACTACCACTAATATTAGATACAAAAAAATTCCCATTTAAATGAGAAGCATAAATTTCCCTACCTGAAGCGAGGTGATTTGGGGAACATAATTTTTTTTTCTTTCTACTTTCAAGTAAGATTAGAGGACAAGGGAGAAGTATAGGACTAGGTCAGATATGTCTTTCTTTATGTAACTAAATGGAAGTAGGATTCTCCCCCTGCTTCCATAGATGGGAGTCCCTTGACAACCTCACTTTATCCGTACAGAAGAGGCTTCACAATATACAAAGATCTAGTGATTATGATAATTTTAATTTAAAAGCTGTCCAGAAGCTTGAAGTTGAGGGAGATTTACATGTGTGACTTTTACACATGGGTTCTAAGAACAGTGGAATTTTAATGCTCGAAGCAGTAATGTAGATGTGGATGTAATTAATATGATTCTGTGACACATGCATAGATTTTTTGAGGCAGACACTTTGCATAGTTATTTTTAATTTACGTACTATAATACTTACTTGATATACTTTGCGAGTAATTTAGGCATTTTAGTTTATAACTGTTACCTTTACCTTGATCACTGCAATCTTTGTTACTATAAAAAGAGAAGCTGATAAAGTCCCATAGCTGTTTTTTTACATTTTCTATAATATTTTTAATATTTAATAAATTTAAAAGCAAGATAATAGTACTTCATCAATATTTAGCTGTTGTAACCAAGACACATCTCCATAGATAGATACAGATGCATCTAATTCATTCTGTCTCTGCTTGAAATCCAAGCCAAATCTCTGGGAACCAGAGCCCGCTTGGGTCAGTGCTCAGTCTAATTATTTAATCATGCTGAGATACCACTGCGGCTCAGAAATGCACAAACACAACATGTGGCTTCTTGACAGAGCTGGTTCTCATCCGAACGGTGGGAGTTGCAGGCATTTTCAGCTGGCATCTGTCTCCATTTGCTGGGGGTATGTTGTCTAAGAGACCTTGATGTAGAAAAAGAATCAAAAGAACACAATTTCTTCTTCTGAGAGAGGGATGTCAGGCATGCCCCTACCAGCTGTGTGCCACTCAGTTCTTTAGTCAGTTACAGGGAATGTCACTCTTTTCACAATTAACTGCCTCTAGCATTTTGTTTTCTCTTCTTTTATAGTCTAACACATATTCCTACTCCTTTCTCCTAAACAGGACTGTCAGAGAGATGCTGCAGAAATCATCAAACACAAAATCTTTAGCAGAGCGATCCTCCTCTCTCCCACACTGTGTACCATTCACATGGTATGGAGAGAGTGGCAAGGGATCCAATTCTTCTAGCAACCTGCCATCGCCTACCAGCTCAACTGAACCCTCCTCTGAAAATTTAAGTCCAGCTAAAAAAGGGTCAAAGGTAGAAAATAAAAACTACCTTATTCCCACTGTGTTGAGTAGCATAATTGGCTTTGTGTTTCTGGAAAAAAGAACGGGCCAATATGTGACTACTACAATAAACAGTGCATGGTGTTCATTGTACGGTAACAGCCCATCCAAACAGAACATCTCTGTCATTGTACCATTTCACATTCTACCTTTTTACTCTGTCTTAATGTACATTATTTCAGTAAACTAACTGTGGTGTGCTCTACCGTAACAAAAGCAAGTGGTGCCAGTGGAAATTAGCATTTGGATCCACTGAACAAATGCTAGATTTGTGTGTTCAGTTATAGATATTTTCTTCATTTCTCAGGACTGGTAGTGGGATTACGTACCCGTGTTCAGATGAGGTGTTTGCAAGTGAAGAAATGCTGTATGCTGTCAGTCATCTGCCTTTTCTCCCCCAGTAATGAAATCTGTTTGTCATGCATGCTTGATGTTGGATTTAATTCTCTGTATGAAGATGCTTGAACTGTAAATATGAACTATTGTAATTAATACATCTCTGTGATGTACCCTTTCTATGTGCATGAATGTTTCAGCATGATACTTCCTTAAATAACCCTTCCCTTATTGTAATATATTTAGCATTTTCATGTTTATTTTCACTTCTGGAAAATACTTCTCTGCCTGTATCATCCTATGACTTACAGCAGTAATTTTTTATATTAGTGTGGTAAAAAGAAACAGATATTGTTCTCAACTTTATGTATGGGACTGTGAATCAGAAATCTAATTTCTCTGTCTTCTACCATCAAATGCATGTTCATAAAAGCAGTTTCCACAGGCATTTCTTACTCTTTTGATGCCAAAAGCTGGTGATACCTTACGTCTGCTGTGCACTAAACTAAGCAAGGTCATAGCTGTTCTTGTGTTACCTAGCAAGGAGAGCTGCCCAAGGCTTACCCCAGTCAAAATCAGATTAATAGAGAAGACAACCAATGAAATCTCTGAAGATTAAAGAGAAATTAATCAGTTACATCTTTCTTTTGGAAAACAAAATAATTACTGGAGCTGTAAATCCTTTTTGTATCTTTAAACAAACATTGTATAAAAATAATTTTCAAACAGGGAAGAAAAGCACACCCTTTTAAATAATACTAGGTTGAGGCTTTAGGGAGTTGTCCTGCTATCATAATTATTAGCAGCCTTCCTATAGAAAATTAAATTTTAAAGGCCTAAATTTATTGTAGAGCTGAAGCTTGCACAAAATAGAGGTGAAAGAAAAACCGGAGTATTAAAAAAGAAAAATATGTTCTTCACATAACAGGCGGTAGAGCTGTTGAACTCCTGGCCTAAGAATGCCGTGTGGGCTAAGGAAGCAGCTAAGGAAGCTGCTCAGATTTGCTTCTCCTCTAAAAAGAGCTGGGAAAAACAGAACAGGAATTCTAAACGTAGGTGAGAGAAAACTGATCACAAAAACGTTCTTATGTTCTCTCTGAACATAACAAGCTCTTAAATTAAGTGTGCCTGAATTCTTTTTCAGGCTTTCAGAGCACAGCATACCAATATTAAGTTGGATTTCCAACAAAACTTGAGAGGATCAACACTTGACTCTGTGTTTTCAGGAAAGATAGGTCAGATATCTGGGGGCAAGCAGATAAAAGGATACCTTTTTTGTGTTGTTTTTATTGTTTCACTTTTTAAAGTGAGTGTCAAAGATGAATTTAATGCTCATTTAGATGTTAGGGTAGAGATAAGAGGTCTGTATTGTCAAGTGTATTTTCAAGTTAAATGGAATATCATGGTGTCCTTAATTTTTGTATACTTTGGTTTCTTTATTGTTCTCCCTCTAACGTGAAATACTTTTAATTTTTGTCTTATTCTAATGGTAATTCTGTTGTATTCTTGAAAAATATGTGCCGCTTTTGCTATCATTTGCTGTAAGGTGTGATGTCTCTCACTGCTTTCTTAAGAAAAAAGAGGGGTTTTTTTATGGTTTTTAGTTCAGGAAATAATATTCAATATCCAAAGATGTCTTTTACTTTCAATTTTTTTCTAAAGGCATAGACAAACAGGGAGGATCCTTTCACTTTTCTAGGAGAGTATTTGGGACTCAGAAATGGATTCACATGATATTCTCCTTGCTCTTTCAATAGGAATTTTGACTTCTCTCTTTTCATTAATCCTCTGTCCTATTCTTTGTGCTACTGCCTGTGCTACTCTGCTCCTAAATATTTGGAGGACAGTAAAGGCTAGTGATTAACCTGCAGAAGCAGTAATTTAGCTCCAGGACGAGAGCCAGCATCTTAAGAGTCTGGAAATTGCTTTAAGACACCTTTGTTATTCATTGAGGCATTAAGCTGGCAAAAGTGTCTCTTGAAGTACACAGGGGTAAAAATACTGTGTATTTTATAAATATTAACAATACAAAAATTAGGCTTCTTCATGTGCATTTTAATTGGTTTGGTAAATGATTGAAATTACTCCTGAGCTATGCCAACATGGAAGACAAAAAGCAAATTTCCCTTCTAGATTCACATATGCAGTCATTTGTTCAGTCTTACTCCTCTTTTTCTCCACAGAATTTCACGTTCAACGATGATTTCAGTCCCAGCAGCACAAGTTCAGCTGATTTGAGTGGTTTAGGAGCAGAACCTAAAACCCCAGGCTTCTCACACTCCTTAGCATTGTCATCAGATGAGGTATGCTGATGAAATTGCTTAATTTGGGAAATAGTTATTTTCTTTCTTCTACGACATCTTGCTTGATTGCTTGAATAATAAAGGGAATTTTGTAGGCAATAGAATTGGAGAAGAAAATTAATCTTGGTTTCTAGATTAAGATTTTTCTTATTCGTATAATAATGACTTTAAATAAATGCCCTGTGGTATAATTGTAGGGAAGTGGAATGCAGTCGGTTTCCTAAGAGACGCTGTATCCTCAGACTCTATATCCTCACACATTTCAATAAATTTTCCCTACACTCTAAATATATACATGTGAACCCATAGATATATGTATGTAAATACACTAAATTAGGCATAACTGAGATAATTTTGATATACTAAAACTACACTATAGTTTGGTAAATATGGTTGAGACATAAGGTGAATTAACCCACACTAATTTTTACCCTGATAAAATGATCTGTACATGCAGTAGTTGTGTGTTACTATACCTGAATATATGTGTATTGATTATAACGTGTGTGTTAATCCACTTTGCATTCTTTGTGTTTGCTTTGCACAGTGGATTTGAATTCATTTACTTAAAACCAGAGTTTTAAACAATGATAAGGGCATTCCTAACCCTGTAAATCAGTGATATAATTCAGCTTCATATAATGTACTGAAAATATTCTTCTTACAATATTAGTTCTGTAACTCGGTTGTCTGTGAGGTTGCACAATTTGACAGTAGCTGACAGCAAATCCTGTGGACTCAGGAAACCTGCGCATTTGTTCCTTTACAAACACTCCATACAAACTTCACATTTTTCATGTGAGATTTGAGCCAGATTTTTTTCCCAGACATAAGGAACTTGAAGTACCTTTTTTTTTTTCTTTTTTTTTTTTTTTATGATAGTTAGGTTTTTATATTACTGCTTTCATGGTTTACTTGGTTTTAAGAATGAGGGCTGTTCTGCACAACCCCATTTGCCAAGCTACAAATCTATAAACCCAACCATTTTTTGGACGTTCCTTACTACAGGTCATTAAGGGCAGTAATTTATAACAAGAGGAGACTGCAGAACAGGCCTGTATATCCTGTGAATTCCTGAAAACAACAAAGTCATCATTTGCACTTTATTTACTGTTAGTACTATCTTAATAATACGTTTAATTATCTTATCATGTTTAATACCCCCTATATTATGTATTTGATTGTGACAATGCCCTGTTCTGAGTGGTATTGAATTAAAAGCTTGAAAATGCTTTTGTTTTGTATGTTTAACTCTCTATCACTTCTAAAATACCAAGCCTGAACAGTCTGTAAAAAGAATGTGTTTTCTCCATCCTCTGCTGTGTGCCAAATTGCTGCCTCCAAATCAGGCAGCGTGTTCAGCAAGAGCTGCAGTGGAAACCACCCCAAGCCACCCTGGCCGGGGGTTAAGCCAGTGCTGCTCCTCAGTCTCTCATAGTGCATTGCTGCAAGCACTGCTTTGCTCTGACTCCTCCAGCAGCTCAGACATGATTATTTGAAGAGGATGAAAGGGTGGGGAGGGAATCCAGTTCTCGTAGGCAGTTCTCTTCTAATTAAGGAGCTTTTGCTCTTGGAAATGGAGCTATCAGCCACCAGTTCTAGAATATGAAGATAAGGAACTCCAAAGGAATTTCACTGCCATAGTGTCAGGTTTAGCTGCCAAATCATGTGTGTGCTGAGCTTTCAACATAACTCTTTGCTTCTGGAAATAATTTTTTTAAAAGAAATCTTTGTTGTTTTGAGTAGCCGTATCTGTTTGCAAATCTTGGTGCTGCCCTTACCTGAACTTTTACATGCTGTTACATGTCTGATATTTTGTTTCTATAATGCTTTTCTTTCCCGTTTCTTTGTTGCTCCCTCACTCAGAGCCTGGATATGATTGATGATGAGGTGAGATACTACTGTGCTGTTGTGGTGAATCGTATGACCATCGTGTGGCAGTGAATCGTCTCTTTTGCAGAGTCACATTTCTTGTTTTGTGGTGTTGTGTGGTGAACCCACTTGTTGGAGCAGAACATGCAGGTGTCACTGGCTCCTCTTTCCTTGTCTTGAGTTCCCCTCTCCTTTGTGCTAAGAGTTTTCAAGGCCACAGCAAACTGCAGTTTTTGCAGTATGCTGAGAGAGGCAGGAGGGTCAGTGTCAAAGCAAATCTACAAGGCCAAGCGTCAGCTGCACTGAGCTCCTGCTGGCAACAAGGGAAGGAAAAGATAGTGCTTAAACCATCTTTTCCGCAGCCCTGAGAACTGGACAACCAGAGGCTGAGAGAGCTCCCAGCGTCATCTAACCCAGTGTAAAAGCTGCTGTAACAGCAGACAGCTGCTGCAAGCTGTAGCAGCTGCTTTGCTGACCCCAGCCAGGACAGAGTAGCTTTTGTTTCAGCCCCCACTGGCATACCCCTGGGTGGAATAAAATGGCAGAGCAGGGACATGGGACTACTCCAGCAGCTGATGTCCCACCTGCCCTTTGTGGTGCAGTTTGTGCTGTCATCTGCAGCAGTGATGAGAGCAGGGCCAGGACTGTGGGATCGCTGTGTGTTCTGTACTGCTCCTCTGCGTTATCTCATGAGTCTTCCAAAGACAGTACCAGTCTCACTTGCTGTTTGATGTCATCGCTTTAAACTTTGCAGTGGTTCGTTTTTTCTTCTATGATTGAATAGATAAAAGATTTTTTGGGTACCTTGTACTTGTTCTTGTGTGTCTGGTTAGATAGAGATATAATATCACAGTGTGAAATTGTTATTATTGTAGTGTAAAGATAGTACAGATACCTCTGCTCTGCTGCTGGCCGTTTGTGCAGGAAAATGTTATTACTCATCTGTGTTACCCTTTCAGTAATAATGTAGCATGTTTTTGTCACAGATCCTTGACGATGGACAATCACCTAAGCACAGTCACTGTCAGAGTCGTGCTGTTCACGAGTGGAGCGTGCAGCAGGTTTCCCACTGGTTAATGAGCCTGAACCTTGAACAGTATGTTTCCGAATTCAGTGCCCAGAACATTAATGGGGAGCATCTCCTTCAACTGGATGGGAGTAAGCTGAAGGTAATTACTGGGCTTCAAGAGTAACTGTAGTATTTTTTGTCATTTACATAATCTTAAAGGCAGTAAGAATTTGTTCAGAAAGCAGTAAATCCCTGCATGTGGAGTGGTGATAGAGTAATAACACAGAGTATAAAGCCACAGCAACACTTCAAGAAATTCCCAAATGCACTTGGATTCAGAAGCTTCAGAAATAGTGGGCAATTGCTTTGTGAAAATTCTTGGTGTATATAATGTACCTGTATTTGCATGTGTAAATCATATAGCAGTGTGTGTAAGTGGTATTTGTATGTATATATTTCTTATCCAGCTTTGTTCTGTGAAAGGGTGATTCAGAGAAGATAGTACACAGAAACATCAGAACTAGCAACAGAATAATGGATTAGTGGGATAGGGAGGCATAAGCTGATACCAGTTGTACTATATTAGAACTAAATATAGTTTTAATGTATAAAGTATGCATTGTTTCTTGTAGTGAAAGTAAAAGCCTACTTCTGTCAAAAATAATCTCAGGAAGGAGTTGTGGGAAGCTTAGCAGATCTGAAAGTCCAAGTTTGGTGTTTCCCTTCTGCATTATTTGGATGCCACTTTACTCACTCTAAGGGTTTTAGAGGAGTGCCAGTGAACTTTTTGACTAAGGCATAGCAGTGAAAATTGGGAAGTCGTGTTCTATGTAGACTTAGATGACTTCAAGAAAATAGTTTATTTGCCTTATTTGATAATGAAATCAATATTGATAGTGGCCATGAGGTCTCATTTGTTAATATTCTAGAAGGGGAAGGCATGGAAAGTAGTACTTATAGATCAGATCTGAGTCTGTCTCAGATCTACTTAGTTGTTACTGTATTCTACCTAAGAGTTACTACTAGAATATGAAAAAAAAATATGACAGATTAAACTATCTGAAGTTCTTTAATTTTGTTTTCCCCACTTCAGGCCCTTGGTATGACATCTTCCCAGGACAGAGCAATCATTAAAAAAAAGCTAAAGGAAATGAAAGCATCCTTGGAGAAGGCTCGCAAAGCTCAAGAGAAAATGGAAAAGCAAAGGGAAAAGCTTCGGAAAAAGGAACAAGAGCAATTGCAGAGGAGATCGAAGAAAACAGACAAGTGTTCATCAGATGCAACAGAGGGCACTAATGAGCAATGATTAGCAGAAGTGCTGCTGCATTCCGAAAGTGGAGGCATGCCAAGGGAAGAGGAACTCATATCCACTCTGGTGCCCCTTCAGCTTTATTGTAGTCATCACCCAAGATTGTGTACAGAGAAATGGGGCTATGCATAGAATGACTAGGGAAATTTATATTGTGTAGTTTTCTTTTCCCACATATCCAGTTCACGCTTGTTGCTGTTGCCATGTGAAACAACCCCAGCCCTTCGGTTTGTTCTGTTCTTGTTGACAGCTAACAGATTTCATATTTGTGTGGTGGTGTTTCCTTCCAAACTACTCTTCTCTATTGAGCTGTGTGTGTTTGGTCACTTCAGTAACCAGCATGATGCCGAGGAGCATGGTCCACTGCTTCACCTCTTCTGAACAGGATGGCCAGTCAATATGATTGGTGAACATTTCTTCAGCTGGGTAAAAGGAGTTGTGCTCTGTCTGATAAGACTTGACTTCACTTTCTAACTGGAAGTTCACCTTCTTTATGGTGTTTGGATACTCAGTTCCATCTGCTGGAGTAAGTTTCATGTTGTGTCAGTACCTTTAAGCGACACTGCTCTGGAAACACAACTGTTCAGTGACTTCTTCTTATACACTGGAGATAAAGACAGGAGAGTCAATATTCCCCCTGGGTAAAAGGCAGGAGGTGAAACTCTTTCTGTTAACTGTACAATAGTTAATCCAGGAAGGAGGCAAAACCTTAAATGGTTATGTGGGTTTACACAGAAATCTGAGGATAACATTTATCCTTTAGATATCTGAGCAAGGATAAATTTCTAACTAGAGCACAGCGTATATATCTGTATAAATTTCATTGTGCTCCCAGTGTGTAGGCAACTTTCTTATAGCACATTCTGCTTTCTTTTTCATGTGTTTTGAACAGAAAACTAGGTTTATTTTGTTTTGAGGTTTTTGGTTTTGTTTTTTTCTAGGAAAAACACCACATCTTCAGATTCATTCTCCAATAAGCATTGGGAGAATAAGCTTTGTGCTGTGCTATCATGAAGCTGTTGTTGGAAACAACTTGAGTCTGCTAAAGATTTCCATTTTTTGCAGAACTGCACTTTAAAAAGAGGAAGACGAGTGATTCTGGTTAAAATTAAGTTCAGTACATTGCTTTTAAGGTCAGTGCTGCCATGGAGGTGATGGTTACTAAGCCCAAAAGCTCCCACATTTTAACTGCTTTGATTGATGTGTTTAAAGAATATCCCCACCAAAACCTGCATTTTTGGGCGTTGGCTGTAGAATGTTGGCTTAGCAGTGGTCATATCTTTCAGAGATTCCTGTGGTGCGTGAGGCCATCAATGAACCCTGCTTTGTAGTTTTGACTATGACAAACAGAAGCAGTGTAGGGTGTTACTGCCCCTTAAGAGCAGCATTAAACTATACAGTATTTCTTCAAAAAAATGGGGAGACAACAGGCAAATGTCCACAATGAGAACCTAGGAGGTATTAGCTTTATGGTTGAAGCTAACTATGGAGCAGTTGAGAAGCACCTCTTCCCATTCATGCATGCTGGAAGTGGCAGTCTTCATCTCGTCGTGCCAACCATATTGATTTAGATGGTGATGCAAAGTTAGAATCTTGAACTTAAAAAAGATGCCAGCCTGAAACTGCAAATACTGAATTCTTTTGAAGAAAATGTCTGTTTTAGTTTGGCTTGGCTTCTCTTCTGCTCTGTACTTTGTGGCATTCAGATTTGTTTCTGCAAAGTTCTCTGAAGCTCAGGTTTGAAACACGTGGGGTGCACTGCTTACAGTTACAATTCTTTTGATTCTAATAATTTCTTTGACATAGAAAATGGTCTATAAACTGAGAAAGTATAGTTCATTCAAAAGTAATGCACAGCATATCTACTTAGCATTAGCTTTTTTTTTTCCCTTCCAAATCCAATTTCTACAGGTTTTTGATGTATATTTTATTCACCTCTAAAACTGAAATTGCCATAAAAGATACTTTCTGATATTTCTAAAGGCTTGTGATATTTTTCTTGACATAGACCACTGGCAGAAAAATACACCTGCTAACAAAAATTACACATTGCAGTAAATCTTGCCATGCTCTTTATAGGAGAAAAATTATACAAATGTGTAATAGCCTCATAAAACTAGCATTCTTTGAGTAAGAGAAGTTATCTGGAAGAAACTGGAAATTTAATCTTTTAAATACAATGTTGATAAATGCATTTGATGATGATTTTCTTTTAAAATTATGTTTACACTGTAGTAATGTTTAAGTGGTTGTATATAGTAATCTAAGGTGGTGTCCCCGTTTTATGTTCTTTGTTTTCTTAGAAACCTGAGCAGACTGCTTGACTGAGCTTTCATTCTTGCTGCTTAGAACAGTGCCTAGTTAATCTCTTTGTAAATTGTGTTCTTATTCTGCAGAATAACTAATTCAACTTAAGTCCTTTAAGTATTCATGGGATTTTTACTGCTTTGTGATGATGTCATTTTGTTATTCTCAGACTA